AATACAGTAGTTGAGCGGAGATGAGGGCGGTGGGTGAGGGAGAAGGGTGTTTCCCGCACCTTTCTCATACTCATCCTCATACTTCTTCATCTACTCTGCCAGGCACTCTGCCTCGCCGCCTCCTACACTGGAGGCCCTCAGCAAGTGGAGTGAGTCAACAACATACAAATCGTAAGTCAGTCACAGTGATGATGCGAGTGTTATGTCCAGCAGACAATGGTGTTTATTTCCTGTCGTCGTGTTCCTCAGAGGACACGAAGGATCCCTGCCTGCCGTCGGCCTTGACGCCGCTCGCCGTGGCCGGCACGGCGTTAGACTCCAGAACACGGAAGCCATCTTCATCAGCGATGTACTTGACGAAGTACTTCACACCTTCTGGAGAAGTCCAACTGAAATGGAAAACCAAAATGTCAATAATGACAAACTTTTCCAGTTTACGAGCTGAACTTCACACAAATATTTGCACTGAAAAAGAAACGTCTTTTAATTGTCGACTTGTTCTGTTAGTGAAGCTTGTCACCTGTAGGAGCCGGTGATGGTGTTGTCGTCGTCGATGTCCTGCACCTGGTGGCTGTCCTCAGCGGAGAAGTCGAAGTCTGGGCGGGCGGCGACCATGGCGACCAGACCCAGGAAGACCAGCACCTGACGGAGGCACAACAAGACCAAGATCACATCACCGCCATCCCACAAGTTACCCGTTAACAGTCAGAACAGTAAGCTTTTTTGTATTAAATGTTCAATATTAATATTTTTGTTTACTTGAGGTATCTCTTATTGTTAATAATATTAAAGTTAATGTAAGACAATCAATCACAATTTAAACATGATTTTGGACCGATGATTTATGATCATCCAGGAGCGGAACTGGTTTAAAATATTTCATTTTTTTCGGAAAATTGCCTCTTTAATGGATTTTTAGTCCATTTTTCGTGTCGTCAACCCACGATGCACTTGGGCTCCCTGACTAGTTGGAGTAACTGTCTTGGACAGTGACTGTCCAGGTGTGACTGTCTTGGACGGTAACTCACGCAACACTTCATGATGGCTGTGGTAGACTGTGGTGGCTGTGGTAGGCTGTGGTGGTGGCTGCGTCAGGAGAAGCTTTGATACAACGGCCTCAACAAAGGAGGACTTTATAGGCGGTGAATTAGGTCATCATTCGCGCCATGCTAGTTGGTCAGCTTGCATAAGGTCACCTTGTCCTTGACACGTTGTCAGTGAGACCCGAATATCCCTTACCACGCCCTGCAGCCGCTACCACCGTATAATGACCCCTGCAGCTCCCACGCCCTCCTGCTGCTGCTGCCACAGTACAATGACTCCCACAACTACCACCTCCTCCTGCTACAACAGCTTCAACGCCAACCTGCTATCACAGTACAATGATCCCCTGAGGCTTCCACGATCTATGGTTGTCCCTGCAACCATGCCCTACTACTATTGTTTTCACAGCTGCCACGCCCTGCTGCTACTCCTTCCACTGCAACAATGACCCCCACATCTACTAAAAATCTCGCTTAGAACTATAACACCACAACCACTCTCACACTGAACACAACACTATCTCCTCACGTACGATATCATACCATCTCCAGGAACTATACCACCCCCTACATACCACACCTGAACCTCAGAAAATCAAAATAGTAGCCATGAGGAGGATTTGAACTTATGCTCTACAGGCACTCTGCCCAAGCACATGCCTTAGACCACTAAACCACGATATGGTCAAAAGCATTGCAACCTGGGATTCAACTGAACCCTCTTGGGATCCTTAGGCTTCCAATGAAGCCAAGTCAAGGTTTTTATGCCTTGAAGCCACTCCCCCTCCCCCCCATGCACTCTGGCATGTGGGCTAGGCGGTCTGTCTCGAACGCCTCTCTTTAAATGCCCATGTCGTGGTGTAGTGGTCATAGGCGTGTGCTTGGGAGTACCCATTAGCATAGGTTCGAATCCTCCTCTGTGGCTCCTACTGGTTTTCTCATTGATACTTCACGTTAATCTGATATATCACAGCATCTACCACACTATATATATATATCACAGCATCTACCACACTATATATATATCACAGTATCTACCACATTGCATATAGCAGCATCTACTACATTCATGTACCACCAATATCTACCCCATTTACAACCACAATATCTGCCATATCAAATACCACCGTATCAAGCCTGTTATCTACCACTGAATCGACCCCAGCCACACCCAAAGTATCTCCCACTACACGACCACACCCCGTGACGTCCAGAGCAGCATTGAGAGCATTTGCAAGGTCAAAGCCAGCCTAATAAGACCACTCCCGCCGGTTATACTACAAAAACCCACCGCCTCTACTAAACATAAATATATATACTACACATACACATATATACTCATCACAAAACATCTTTTTATACTGGTACTCATCACAAAACATCTTTGTATACTGGTACTCATCACAAAACATCTTTGTATACTGATACTCATCACAAAACATCTTTGTATACTGATACTCATCACAAAACATCTTTGTATACTGATACTCATCACAAAACATCTTTGTATACTGATACTCATCACAAAACATCTTTGTATACTGCCATGTTATACTGTTGACTATGATACACCTCATACGCTGCTCGCCTCAGTGTAATCCTGTTTACACGATCATGTGCCTCTACAGTTACACAGAAATCTACAATGTAGTCCTATGTATTCCATCCTATGACATGTAACACCTGACAGGATTAGTAGATATTGGGCATAGAAGATATTCAAAGATATTGAAGTCAAATATTTCATGTAATTACCAATAACAGTTATTATCATTTGCTTACAATGTAAAATCATTCACTTACAATGTAAAATCATTCACCTACAATGTCAAATCTTTCACTTACAATGTAAAAATAATTCACTTACAATGTCAAATAATTCATATACAGTGTTAACAACACTTAAGCAGAAGACATTTCTTAAACACAATCTAACAACCTAATTCAACTCCTCACAAACTCCATCTTAGAAATTTGAAATAAACAAATTTAAATCGCGAGTGAAACCCTTAGATAATGCTTTTTTCAACAACTCATTCAAAATGTAAAACAGCTTTCAGATATTTGAAATGTTCAAAGGTTATTATCATATATAATATAATATATGCTATTTTTTCACGTTAAAACTATAATGTATTTTCTAGCTACTTTCAGCCTATGATACTAAAAACTGGAACGGTTGTGGAAACAGTAGTTAGAGGTCATATTGGGCAACATAACAACGGGTCATCAACACCCCCCCCCCCATGCCCCTCCCTGCTCCCCAATCCCATGCCCTCATTACCCCCCCCCCCCAATCCTCTTATTCCCCCATCCTAGACCCTCCTCGCCCTCCTACCACAGACCTTCCTTGACCTCCATCCGCAGGCTCTCCACGGCCCCCTTTTCCAGTGGAATCACAAGTAACTGAGGCTGGACAGAAGACAGTCGGCTTCAAAAGAATATATTCAAACATAGATGGGATTACAAACTAAGCAAGTGAACTTAGGGGAAGAGGGAAAAAGCCCAAGAGGAAAACCTGGATGTAATAGGACTCACAGAAACAAAACTGTCAGGAATCCTAACAAAAGTGGTGTTTCCCCAGGACTACACTGTAATAAGGAAAGTGAAGGAAGGAAGGGGAGGAGGACAACTGGCCCTACTAATCACAAGCATCATCATAATGAGTATGATGTAATAGCCACAAGTAGCCACAAGTAGTAATAGCATTGATGTATATCCCCCATCAAATGACAGAAGACCAAGGACAAAATGTATGTTGTATAACAGAAACAACATTGCCGTTAATAGTATAATTATGTGGGCAGTCTCTGTCGCCTGTATAAATCAATCCCGTCTGCTTATCATCGGAGATTTCAACCACAGAGAAATAGACTGGGAGAACAATGAACCGCATGAAGGCGAAGAAACATGGAGAGCTAAACTACTGGATGTGGCAACAAGAAACTTCTTAAGCCACCCAGCATGTCAGGGGACCCACAATAATGAGAGGCAAAGACGAACCAGCTAGATATGACCTGGTTTTTACTTTGAACGAATCCGACATAAGGGAAATCAATTTCGAGGCCCCCGTGGAAATGAGCAATCACAGTGTACTGATATTTGAGCATCTGGTTGAAGTAAAGTTAACGTACTCCTGGAAGGGACAAGAAAACAAAAGGCTGACGTTCTGAAAGGGAAACTTTGAGGAGATAAGAAAATTCCTAACAGATATAACATGGGGAAACAGAGCTCAGAGGAAAGATGGCCCAAGACATCATGGACTACATCACGCAGAACTGAATAGAGGCAACAGATAAGTTTTCCCAGTTCGAAAAGAAAAAACTAAATGCAGATGAGGAACTCATGGTTTAATCAGGGAGATAAGCTGACAAAGCAACTAAATACAAGAGCATGGAGAAACTGTAGAAATAACAGGACTATTTTGTGATGTGTGATGTTCACCTCGTGTTCAGCGTCGCTCTGTTGCGATGTTCACCTCAAGTTCAACGAGGCGACTTCCGGTACCTTGGAGACAGGCACACATGTGGTGTAAACAAAACTTGGCACACATGTGGTGTAAACAAAGCTTGGCACACATGTGGTCTAAACAAAACTTGGCACACATGTGGTGTAAAAAAAAGATTGGCACACATGTGGTGTAAACAAAGCTTGGCATACACGTGGTGTAAACACAGCTGGCACACATGTGGTGTAAACACAGCTGGCACACATGTGGTGTAAACAAAGCTTGGCAAACTAACTGAGCAAACACGTGGCTGCCAATACTGCGACTTTACAGAGCTCGTAATATTTGTTGTGTTAAGACATCCCACAGCTCTATAGAACGTTATGTGTTAAGGTCCGCCGCAGCTCTATGGAGCATGGTGTTAGGGTTCGCCACAGCTCTAAACAGCATAGTGTTAAGCTCTGGCACAGTTCTATAGAGTGCAATCTTAGGGTTAAAGAATTACAGAGTTTTACTCTTTCAATTTTATTTACTTAAACAGAATTTGGGGTAAATAAATATTTTCAGACAAAGGTCTGAAGGAAATAATAAATTAATGGTGAACAGGAACCCAGAACAATGATGAGGAAGGTGAGGAGTGTGAGGTGAGAGTGAGGGGACAGGAACCATCTCTCATACTCTCTCACTCACACTCAAGTCTGGTAAACTCAGCAACAATCAGGATCTTGGCCAGAGTGATCAAGCGAGAACGTCCTCAGGAGTTTGTTTACTTCCTGTCGTCGTCGTCTTCCTCAGAGGACACGAAGGATCCCTGTCTACCGTCGGCCTTGACGCCGTCAGCGGTGACGGGGACGGCGTTGGACTCCAGGACGCGGTAACCGTCTTTGTCAGCGATGTACTTGACAAAGTATTCCACGCCTTCAGGAGACGTCCAGCTGGAACACCAAATATTACATTAACACAAAAGTTAGAAATTGAAACGTGTTTACATTCCCCTCAAGTTGATCAATACCGAACTTTCTTAAGGCTAATAAGCTTAATAATTCGTTTATTAAACAAGACAGCGGTTTAAGCTGAAAGAAAGTTTATATTTGTAATTGTTCAGGTGATGTTGGGATGAGAGGGGCTTAAGGCAGGTAAGGAAACCCACCTGTAGGAGCCGGTGATGGTGTTGTCCTTGCCTATGACTTGGTCCTGGTGGATGTCCTCCAGGCTGAAGTCTGGGCGGGCGGCGACCAGGGCGGCCACACCCAGGAGGACTACCAACTGACGGAGGGAGGAGGTCAGGTAAAATGGAAAGGAGGAGGAAGCAAAATAACATTTTCCATGTTACCAGAAATTAAGAATACAAATTGAATATCTTTAAACCAAGAGAACATCATCTGAGGAAAATGTTCCTCAGTATAAGAATGTATCAATAGAATACATTGAAATACAAAGTAGACTTTTGGAGAGCGTGCTTCCCACAAAAAATAAAGCTCTCCAAAAGGAACATTAATTCAAGTTGTAGACTTCCACTACAGAAGAACTATTTTGCCCAACGAGTAAATGAAATAGTAAGTAACCGGGGATTAATAGACTAGAAAATATCAACAATTTAAGAAAATAGGCCTACAGATAGACAAATGTTATAATTCTTCATTTAGGTTTTGGTAAATCTGAAATTGGAGAGGCATACGAATTTTGTAAACTAATGACTAATGTTAAAATATTCAGTCGAAGGAGTAATGAGAATTGTTGAAAAATGGAAAAAGATATAATTTACAGAATTAAATGTTACAACATTAATGATGTCAGCATAACTACAGATGAATGAAGTCAACGATGAAAAATCAATCTGATGAATTTCCAATTTATAATTTTTACGAGTTTGTCATCAATAATGTTTGACGTTTATGCAGAAGGCGTCGATCCGTGAATACTTTGATTCTGAGTTAGTTTACTCAAATAAGACTTTAGTGAATACTTTGATACTGAGTTAGTTTACTCACGTAAGTGTTCATGGTGGATCAGTGGTGGAGGAGTGAGTGATGACCAGGCTCGCTGACCACACTTTATACTGGACCGATCCAGGTCAAGACCCTTGACTGTATCACGTGACCCACTTTGTTTACCCCTCCCCTTTTTTCCCCTCCTTCCCTCCCCTTCATCCCTCCCCTTCATCCCTCCCCTTCTTCCCTCCCCCTCATCCATCCATGCCATTCTTCCCTTCCCTTTATTTTTTCTCTTCGTTCTTTCCCTTCATCCCTCCTCCTCTCCTCTCCTCTACGTGTTCTCCCCTTTTAAAGAACACCACCTCCCAGAACACCACCTCACAGAAAACCACTTCATATAACACCACCTACAAGAGAACCACCTCCCAGAACACCATCTCACAGAACATCTCCTCACAGAACACCTCCTCACAGAATACCACCTCACGCCTCATTACTTACTGGAACAGCACCTCACGAAACACCGCTCAGAACACCTACCCTGAGAACACCTACCCTGAGAACACCTCACAGAACACTTACCCTGAGAACACCTTCCCTTCCACACAGAACACCACCTCATAGAACAACACCCCATGGAACACAAGCTCACGGAACCAAATATGGTGTATGATACAGCAGGACAGAACTCCCAGTTGATTTTAAAGAGGTTGTATGCTTCAAACGTATATGATACACGAGGTGAAGGCTACAGCATACATCAGGTGTGTACTACAGCGGGTGTATAACAGACGGGGTCTGTATATTTTCCATTTTTCACCAATTTGACAGAATGTAAACACACAGTAACTTTAAGGCATTGTTTCGAGGATACAAAAACGCAGAAATACATAAAAATATTGATGCAATCTGTATAATGTTACATAAGTACAAAAATATATATTTCGAGGTAGATAAATACAGAGATATATAGATGGAAAGACATATATAAGACACACGGATTCGTAAATAAATATGGACAGATCTAAAAACACAAAACTGCATAAATTCATAGAGAAATAATTACAAAGATACATAAATAAATGAATACTTAAATACATATATACATAATACCAATATACATAATACATATTTGATCAAAAACATGTGGAGTTAATAATGACTTGGCGTTTGTGTAACGGTCTCTAAGAGTCCCGGTATTTTGTGAAGGCCTTCGTGCGTCTCGCCAATCAGGCTTAGGTAATCTCTGACGTCAGGGCCAGAGTGGTGCCACACAAGGTCTGAGTGTCAGGGCCAGAGTGGTGCCACACAAGGTCTGAGTGTCAGGGCCAGAGTGGTGCCCCACAAGGTCTGAGTGTTAGGGGCCAGAGTGGTGCCACACAATGTCTGACCTCAGTGCCAGAGTGGTGCCAGACACAAGGTCTGAGTGTCAGGGCCAGAGTGGTGCCAGAAACAAGGTCTGAGTGTTAGGGGCCAGAGTGGTGCCCCACAAGGTCTGAGTGTTAGGGGCCAGAGTGGTGCCCCACAAGGTCTGAGTGTCAGGGCCAGAGTGGTGCCAGAAACAAGGTCTGAGTGTTAGGGGCCAGAGTGGTGCCAGAAACAAGGTCTGAGTGTTAGGGGCCAGAGTGGTGCCCCACAAGGTCTGAGTGTTAGGGGCCAGAGTGGTGCCCCACAAGGTCTGAGTGTTAGGGGCCAGAGTGGTGCCCCACAAGGTCTGAGTGTTAGGGGCCAGAGTGGTGCCAGAAACAAGGTCTGAGTGTTAGGGGCCAGAGTGGTGCCAGAAACAAGGTCTGAGTGTTAGGGGCCAGAGTGGTGCCCCACAAGGTCTGAGTGTCAGGGCCAGAGTGGTGCCAGAAACAAGGTCTGAGTGTTAGGGGCCAGAGTGGTGCCCCACAAGGTCTGAGTGTTAGGGCACAAGGTCTGAGTGTCAGGGCCAGAGTGGTGCCAGAAACAAGGTCTGAGTGTTAGGGCCAGAGTGGTGCCAGAAACAAGGTCTGAGTGTTAGGGGCCAGAGTGGTGCCCCACAAGGTCTGAGTGTCAGGGCCAGAGTGGTGCCCCACAAGGTCTGAGTGTCAGGGCCAGAGTAGTGCCACACAAGGTCTGACGTCAGTGCCAGAGTGGTGCCACACAAAGTATTGCCATAGTTGTACTGTTGCAGCAGCAGGAGGGTGTGATAGTTGTTGGAGTCATTGTACTGTAGCAGCAGCAGCAGGAGGGCGTGGGAGCTGCAGGGGTCATTATACGGTGGTAGCGGGTGCAGGGCGTGGTAAGGGATATTCGGGTCTCACTGACAGCGTGTCAGGGACAACGTGACCTTATGCAAGCTGACCAACTAGCATGGCGCGAATGATGACCTAATTCACCGCCTATAAAGTCCTCCTTTCCTGAGGCCGTTGTATCAAAGCTTCCCCTGACGCAGCCACCACCACAGCCTACCACAGCCACCACAGTCTACCACAGCCATCATGAAGTGTTGCGTGAGTTACTGTCCAAGAACGTTACACGAACTAGACACGGAATGCATAAGTGCATCGTGGGTTGCCGTCACGAGAAATGGGCTAACAATCAATTAAAGAGTCATTTTTCCGAAAAAAATTAATATTTTAAACCAGCTCCGCTCCTGGATGAAAATACATCAACAGTCCAAAATTATGTTTGAATTGTGACTGATTCTCTTACATTAACTTTAATATTATTAAAAATAATACAAAATTTATACAAAAACTTTTAATACAAAAAAGCTTACTGTTCTGACTGTTAACGGGTGGCTTGTGGGATGGCGGTGATGTGATCTTGGTCTTGTTGTGCCTCCGTCAGGTGCTGATCTTCCTGGGTCTGGTCGCCATGGTCGCCGCCCGCCCCGACTTCGACTTCTCCGCTGAGGACAGCCACCAGGTGCAGGACATCGACGACGACAACACCATCACCGGCTCCTACAGGTGACAATCTTCACTAACAGAACAAGTCGACAATTAAATGACGTTTCTTTTTCGGTGCAAATATTTGTGTGAAGTTCAGCTCGTAAACCTGAAAATTTGGTCATTGTTGACATTTTGGTTTTTCATTTCAGTTGGACTTCTCCGGAAGGTGTGAAGTACTTCGTCAAGTACATCGCTGATGAAAATGGCTTCCGTGTTCTGGAGTCTAACGCCGTGCCGGCCACGGCGAGCGGCGTCAAGGCCGACGGCAGGCAGGGATCCTTCGTGTCCTCTGAGGAACACGACGACAGGAAATAAACACCATTGTCTGCTGGACATAACACTCGCATCATCAATGTGACTGACTTACGATTTGTATGTTGTTATGTTATTGACTCGCTCCACTTGCTGAGGGCCTCCAGTGTAGGAGGCGGCGAGGCAGAGTGCCTGACAGAGTAGATGAGGAAGTATGAGGATGAATATGAGGAAAATGAGGGAAACACCCTTCTCCCTCACCCACCACCCTCATCTCCGCTCTACAAATATATTTCTTTCTCAATTCTTCAACTGTCATTTCACTTAATATTTATTAAAATATTTATTCACTGAGAAACTTTGTATATTAATTTATCGCTTCGAAATTAAAACAGTAATAATAATTTTGTCTTTCTGATCACCCCAACAATGACACCAATAAGGTGGACAATTTCCATTATATCACATGATCGTGATGTAAAACTTGGTTAATGCAACTACCTGAAAAAAAAAAAAATATATATATATATATATATATATATATATATATATATATATATATATATATATATATATATATATATATATTTATTTATGAATGAAAACTCACACCCCAGAAGTGACTCGAACCCATACAAAAGGAAGTGATAGCCGAGGCTATTTGAGCCACTTCCCCGACGGCAACTCGGATGGTAATCTTGGGCATAGCATTTCACCAAATCACCTCATTCTTTGGGGCACACGTGAGGAACACAAATGCGAACAAGCCTGAATGGTCCCCAGGACTATATGCGAATGAAAACTCACACCCCAGAAGTGACTCGAACCCATACTCCCAGAAGCAACGCAACTGGTAACTACAGGGCGCCTTAATCCGCTTGACCATCACGGCCGTCATCACTACGGCCTGTAGTTACCAGTTGCGTTGCCTCTGGGAGTATGGGTTCGAGTCACTTCTGGGGTGTGAGTTTTCATTCGCATATAGTCCTGGGGACCATTCAGGCTTGTTCGCATATTTATTTATATATATACACAACAGGGAGATTTCCCCTTGGTCCTCTACTCTTCTGCATGACTGTACTAAGGTGGTCCAGCTGGGAACTGAATGAAGGCACTGAGGCAAGTACACAGGAGCCCCTGGTAGTCGACCTACAGCTGGGGACAGCTATACAGCTGCCTACCATTGCACAAGTTTGTCTGTTACCCCAACCTGCGCACCCTCTAAATGACCCTCCACAGGAAGCCCCACTTGCATTATAGCAGCAACAGTAAATAATACGGCAGTAACCACAGCATCTGTCTCCGCCTTGACCAATGCTTCACTCAGGTCTGGATAAAGCCTCTATATACGCCTGACCTCCCTCATGATTAAACTGCCCCAGGTCGTCACTCCTGACCCACCGAAGGTTGAATCACTTGACCTTAACCTACGCCAAACATATGATCCTCACCCCTACCCCCCTCCCCTTCCTGACCTCCGAAGGTCACACGCCTGACGACCGGAAAGGTCAAATAACCTGAGCCCCCTCACATTGTGACATCAAGACAGTGACCTCATGTTACTTAGGTCACTGTCTTGATTTGTTTGATTTCTGACAGCTTGTCCATCTGTCTGTCAGCACTTCGGTGTGAAATATCTCCTTAAGGTCTGTCAGGAAATAGAGTCAGTGTCAAAAATATTTTGTCATTTTTTTTTTTACAAATTTTCTCGACATTTTTGTCAATTTTTTACTATTTTTTCAGTTCTTTATACAAAATTTACAAATTTTCTCAATATTTTATACAAATTTTACAAAATTTCTCAATGTTTCGTTAAATTTCTAAGACATTTCTCAAGATTTTGTCCAATTTTAACAACAAATGAACATCATAATTGAGTAAAACATAATAAAACCCTAGAAAGTCTGTAAAGGATAATGTCTGTTTGCCTGTTTATCTGTTTTGTCTGCCTGTCCGTATTTTTTTCTTTGCCTGTCCCAGGGTGGAGGCCAGATGCCTGAGATTAGCCTGTGATTGGTCACAACAAAAATACTTGTCCAATGTTAATGTCTACTTCAACTTTAAGCAGTGTCGTGTGTTACGCTTCGCCATAGTTCTGTGGAGCATGGTGCTAAAATCTGCCCCAGCTCTATGGAGCATGGTGCTAAAATCTGCCCCAGCTCTATGGAGCATGGTGCTAAACTCTGCCACAGCTCTATTTAGCATGGTGATAAGGTCCGGTACAGCTCTGGGGAGCGTAGTGTGATAATGGTTGCCCCAGCTTCATGGAGCATAGTGTTAAGATCTGCCACAGCTTTATTGGGCACAGTGTTAAGGTCTCCTACAGCTCTGTGGGGCGTAACGTGATAAGGTTTGCCCCAGCTCTATGGAGCACAGTGTTAATGTCTGCTACAGCTCTAAGAAGCATAGTTTTATAGTCTGCCACAGCTCTGAGGAGCAGAAAGGAATAAGGGATGCCACAACTCTATGTATCATAGTGTTAAGGACTGCCAAAGCTCTATGGAGCATAGTGTTAAGGTTTGATAGAACCCTATGGTGCTTTTAATATTAAACTGTGCCCCCAGCTCTACATAGCCCAGTTTTAAGCTTTGCCACAGCTCAATGGAGCATAGTGTTAAGGTCTGCCAAGCTCTATGGAGCATAGTGTTAAGTTTTACCACAGTTATATGGACCACACTGTTAAAGTCTGCCGCAGCTCTATGAAGCACAGTGTAAAGGACTGCCACAGCTCTATAGAGCACAGTCATAGGGGAGGAATGATATAATCTTATTGTTTCTATTTTATTTACATAAACAGAATTTGGGGTAAATAAATAATTTCAGACAAAGGTCTGAAGGAAATAATAAATAAATGGTGAACAGGAACCCAGAACTATGATGAGGAAGGTGACGAGTGTGAGGTGAGAGTGAGGAGACGTGAATGAGAGGACATGAACCATCCCTCAAACTCTCTCACTCACACTCAAGTCTTGTAAACTCAGCAACAATCAGGATCTTGGCCAGAGTGATCGAGCGAGAACGTCCTCAGGAGTTTGTTTACTTCCTGTCGTCGTCTTCCTCAGAGGACACGAAGGATCCCTGTCTACCGTCGGCCTTGACGCCGTCAGCGGTGACGGGGACGGCGTTGGACTCCAAGACGCGGTAACCGTCTTTGTCAGCGATGTACTTGACGAAATATTCCACGCCTTCAGGTGACGTCCAGCTGGAACACCGAATAATACATTAACACAAAAGTTAGAGCTAGAAACGTGTTTACATTCCCCTCAAGTTGATCAATACCGAACTTTCTTAAGGCAAATAAGCTTAATAATTTGTTCATTGACAGCGATTTCTGCTTAATGAAAGTTTATATTTGAAATTATTCAGGTGATGAGGGTATGAGAGGGGCTTAAGACAGGTGAGAAACCCACCTGTAGGAGCCGGTGATGGTGTTGTCCTTGCCTATCGCTTGGTCCTGGTGAATGTCCTCCAGGCTGATGTCTGGGCGGGCGGCGACCAGGGCGACCACACCCAGGAGGACTACCAACTGACGGAGGGACGAGGCCAGGTAACATGGGAGAGAGGAGCAGGCCAAGTAACATGGGAGAGAGAAGCAGGCCAAGTAACATGGGAGAGAGGAGAAAGCATGTTAACATTCCCATTTTATCAGAAATTAACAATACAAATTAAATAACGTTAAACCAAGAGAATACCTTCCCTCAGTATAAGGATCATATATTGATCCTTATACTGAGGGATCATATATTGATCCTTATACTGAGGGATCATACATTGATCCTTATATTATGGGATCATACATTGTTCCTTATACATAAGAGAATATATTGAAATGCAGCATGCACCTTAGTAGTGTGTGTTAATTAACCAATAAAATTAAAGCCTAAACAAGAAAAAGAACATTATTTGAAGTTGAAGACTTCCACTACAAAAGGACTTTTTGCCAATGGTGGAATGGAATTCGGTAATTAACTGGGAATAATTAGGCTTAAAAAGTCAGCAAATTTTGAAAATAAGTCTTAGCTATTAATGCATAAATATCTGAGACAAATTATATGATTAATATATAGGTTTTGGTAAATCTGAAATTGGAGAGGAATACCAATTTTGTGATCGAATGAGGAACACAAAAATATTCAGTCGAAGGTTTGAAAACTAATGAAATTTGAAAAAATGCAATTTACAGAATTAGAGGTTACAACAATATTGATGTCAGCGTAACTACATATGAATGAAGTCTACGATGATGAAAAATCAATCTGATATGAATTTACAATTCATAATTTTTAGGAGTTTGTCATCTATAATGTTTGATGTTATTGCAGAAGGCGTCGATCTGTGAATTCTTTGACACTAAGTTAGTTTATTCACGTAAAACTTTAGTCAGTACTTTGATAATGAGTTAGTTTACTCACGTAAGCGTTCATGATGGATCAGTGGTGGAGGAGTAAGTGATGACCAGGCTCGCTGACCACACTTTATACTGGAGCGATCCAGGTCAAGTCCCTTGACTGCTTATCTGTCAAGCGTCCGACAAAAATGTCATGCAACCTTGACCACATCACGTGACCCACTTTGTTTACCCCCTTGACCTTCCCTCTTTACCCCTCCCTCGCTGCGCCCCCTCCTTCACCCCTCCATACTCCATCACCAGCCACACCACCATACACCATCACCAGCCATACCACGATCATCGTCCTTCTATATCACTATACTCATCCATCACCATAACACCAACACAATCCTCACCGTGCAACCATACACAATTATCATCACACCATAATATACCCGAATTTACCTATGGGCCACTAACACTCTAGTGGTCTCGACTAGGATAGGAAGCCAGCTGCTTGTCAAGGGCTCCCCCAATAGCCCTGATAAATATACAACATCACCATATCATCATATTCATCATACCACCAGACACAAGTCACCATAAAGTGACACACAGTTAAGTTAACTAAAACTCTTAGGTATTACACTTAAAAATTTGACTTTGGAATTACAAATGGATTTAGACTCAAGTGGAGTCTCCCAGGGTTCAGTCCTTGGACCTATCATGTTTCTGATATATGTAAACGAGCTTCCTGAGGGTATAGAATCGTTCTTCTCAATGTTTTCTAATGATGTAAAAATTATGATGAGGACTAAGACCGAGGAAGATAGCAAGAGGCTACAAGATGACCTAGACAAACTGAAGAAATGGTTCAACGAATGGCAACTGAAATTCAACCCAAGCAAATGTAAGGTAATGAAACTAGGCGGAGGGAATAGGAGGCAAGACATAGGATACCGAATGGGAGACGAAGTCCTCCACGAACGGGCAGAGAAATCAATAACGTTAAACCAAGAGAATACCTTCCCTCAGTATAAGGATCATATATTGATCCTTATACTGAAGGATCATATACTGATCTTTATATTGAGGGATCATATATTGATTCTTTTACAGAGGGATCATATCTTGATTCTTATACGATGGAGATGATATCACACCGAACCTGTCGTCTGAAGTCCACGAGGCTTCAGACTTATGCAAGGCTGGCTAACTTAAGAACTGCCTTCAGAAACCTGTGTAAGGAATCATTGAGGACCTTGTATACCACGTATGTAAGACAAGTCCTGGAGTATGCGGCTCCAGCATGAAGCCCGTACCTTGGCAAGCACAAGACGAAACTGGAGAAGGTACCAAAGGTTTACAACTAGACTCGTCCCACAATTGTAAATCCTAGCAAAGACTCGCAACCATGAGTAGGCTGAGTTAGACAGTGAGTTGGGGCTCATAGTCATGAGTAGGCTGAGTCGGACAGTGAGTCTGGCCCGTGCCCGTGGGCGCCTGACAGCTGGGTGGACAGCGCTTCTAATTCATAGTCCTTCAGTTCCGAGTTCGATCCCCGCTGGAGGAAAAAATGGGCAGAGTTTCTTTCACCCTGATGACCCTGTTCACCTAGCAGAAAATAGGCGCCTGGGAGTTAGACAGCTGCTACGGGCTGCTTCCTCGGGGTGTGTAACAAAAAGGAGGCTTGGCCGAGGACCGGGCCACGGGGACACTAAGCCCCGAAAGCATCTCAAGATAACCCCAAGATAACCTCCCTACCAATCTAACTCAGTGATTAAGTACTAGGTGCAACATTCTACATCAGTAAGTTCCCAGAGCAACAGTGAGTTAGTAAGTTTCTAGTGCAACAGTGAGTATGTTCCTAGTACAACAGTGAGTCAGTAAGTAGGTTCCTAGTGCAACAATGAGTCGATGAGTAACGTAGTTTTATTATATTACTGTATACTGAGTACTATAGTATATCATAGTGTTCTGAGCAGGGTGCATAAGTCAGCTGGGTGAGTCGCGGAGATGGTGAATCAGGGAGGCGAATGCGTCAGCCTCGCTATGTTGTGGTGCTCACCTCATGTTCAGCGTCGCTCTGTTGCGATGAACACTTCATGTTCAACAAGGCGGCTTCGGGTACCCCTGGAGACAGGCACACAAGTGGTGTATACAAAGCTTGGCAAACTAACTGAGCAAACTCGTGCGCGCCAATACTACGACTTGACAGAGCTCGTAATATTTGTTGTGTTAAGATATCCCACAGCTCTATAGAACGTAATGTGTTAAGGTCCGCCGCAGCTCTATGGAGCATGGTGTTAGGGTTTGCCACAGTTCTAAACAGCACAGTGTTAAGCTCTGCCATGATTCTATAGAGTACAGTCTTCGGTTAAAGAATTACAGAGTTTTACTCTTTCAATTTTATTTAAACAGAATTTGGGGTAAATAAATATTTTCAGACAAAAGTCTGAAGGAAATAATAAATTAATGATGAACAGGAACCCAGAACAATGATGAGGAAGGTGAGGAGTGTGAGGTGAGAGTGAGGAGACGTGAATAAGTGGACATGAACCATCCCTCATACTCTCTCACTCACACTCAAGTCTTGTAAATTCAGCAACAGTCAGGATCTTGGCCAGAGTGATCGAGCGAGAACGTCCTCAGGAGTTTGTTTACTTCCTGTCGTCGTCTTCCTCAGAGGACACGAAGGATCCCTGTCTACCGTCGGCCTTGACGCCGTCAGCGGTGACGGGGACGGCGTTGGACTCCAGGACGCGGTAACCGTCTTTGTCAGCGATGTACTTGACGAAATATTCCACGCCTTCAGGTGACGTCCAGCTGGAACACCGAATAATACATTAACACAAAAGTTAGAGTTTGAAACGTGTTTACATTCCCCTCAAGTTGATCAATACCGAACTTTCTTAAGGCAAATAAGCTTAATAATTTGTTCATTGACAGCGATTTCTGCTTAATGAAAGTTTATATTTGTAATTATTCAGGTGATGAGGGTATGAGAGGGGCTTAAGACAGGTGAGAAACCCACCTGTAGGAGCCGGTGATGGTGTTGTCCTTGCCTATCGCTTGGTCCTGGTGGATGTCCTCCAGGCTGATGTCTGGGCGGGCGGCGACCAGGGCGACCACACCCAGGAGGACTACCAACTGACGGAGGGACGAGACCAGGTAACATGGGAGAGAGGAGGCCCAAGTAATATGGGAGAGAGGAAAAAGCATGTTAATATTCCCATTTTATCAGAAATTAACAATACAAATTAAATAACGTTAAACCAAGAGAATACCTTCCCTCAGTATAAGGATCATATATTGATCCTTATACTGAGTGATCATATACAGATCTTTATACTGAGAGATCCAATATTGATCCTTATACTGAGGTATCATATATTGATCCTTATACTGAGGGATCATACATTGATCCTTATATTATGGGATCATACATTGTTCCTTATACATAAGAGAATATATTGAAATGCAGCATGCACCTTAGTAGTGTGTGTTAATTAACCAATAAAATTAAAGCCTAAACAAGAAAAAGAACATTATTTGAAGTTGAAGACTTCCACTACAAAAGGACTTTTTGCCAATGGTGGAATGGAATTCGGTAATTAACTGGGAATAATTAGGCTTAAAAAGTCAGCAAATTTTAAAAATATGTCTTAGCTATTAATGCATAAATATCTAAGACAAATTATATGATTAATATATAGGTTTTGGTAAATCTGAAATTGGAGAGGAATACCAATTTTGTGATCGAATGAGGAACACAAAAATATTCAGTCGAAGGTTTGAAAACTAATGAAATTTGAAAAAATGCAATTTACAGAATTAGAGGTTACAACAATATTGATGTCAGCGTAACTACATATGAATGAAGTCTACGATGATGAAAAATCAATCTGATATGAATTTCTAATTCTAATTTTTATGAATTTGTCATCTATAATGTTTGATGTTATTGCAGAAGGCGTCGATCTGTGAATTCTTTGACATTGAGTTAGTTTATTCACGTAAAACTTTAGTCAGTACTTTGATAATGAGTTAGTTTACTCACGTAAGCGTTCATGATGGATCAGTGGTGGAGGAGTAAGTGATGACCAGGCTCGCTGACCACACTTTATACTGCAGCGATCCAGGTCAAGTCCCTTGACTGCTTATCTGTCAAGCGTCCGGACAAAAATGTCATGCAACCTTGACCACATCACTTGACCCACTTTGTTTACCCCCCCTTGACCTTCCCTCTTTACCCCTCCCTAGCTGCGCCCCCTCCTTCACCCCTCCATACTCCATCACCAGCCACACCACCATACACCATCACCAGCCATACCACGATCATCGTCCTTCTATATCACTATACTCATCCATCACCATAACAGCAACACAATCCTCACAGTGCAACCATACACAATTATCATCACACTATTATTTACCTGAATTCACCTATGGGCCACTAGCACTCTAGTGGCCTCGACGAGGACAGAAAGCCAGCGGCTTGACAAGAGTTCCCTCTATTAGCCCTGATAAATAAGCAACCATCACCATACCATCATATGCATCATACCACCAGACACAAGTCACCATAAAGTGACTCACATTGTCAAGTTAACTACAACTCTTAGGTATTACACTTAAAAAATAGACTTTGGAATTACAAGTGGATTTAGACTACCTTCAATGGGAACAGTGGCTATAGCTACCTCTCTAACACTTGATCACTCTTCCTCTAAGTGTACCTTAGGGTGTTATCATCTTCCTCTAAGTGTACCTTAGGGTGTTAACTTCTTCCTAATCCCAATACTTCCTAATATTTCTCGCGTTTGTCAACTCAAAAATGTGCAGAGAATGTCATTTTTTTTCCTTCAGGGAGGGAAGCTGTAGGAAACATCTTGACACATCTCAAGATCTTCAGCTTCCCTCTTCCTCCTCTTTTCTGGTTATTCCTCTTCCTCTCCTTCGTTAAAAATGAATTAGTTTACAAACTTACACAAATTTTTAACACACTTAAAAAAAGTATGTTCCAGAGAGAGTGAATTTTTGAGCTCATGTTGGACACATTTATGTAAACTGGGTCCTTCGGGGGATTCGGACCTTCACACTTGGGACTCCTAACCAGCACGCAGTAGACCACTACACCAGGAGTAAGC